CACACCATAGATCTTTCAATGATATCGAAGATAGAAGCTGAAGATAGAGACCAACAAGTTTGTTATCTAGAGTGGTTTTCAGTGATAACAAGCTCGTCTACACAAATGTGAAGTCTACGCAAGATTCAGCGAACACTGATGAGACCTTCAGCGTCATTCCAGTGTCAGCAATCAAATGAATCTTGTCGAACAAGATTAGTTTTTGTCTCGTTCTTCTACACACAAAGAACAAACTTATACCTTTTTAATGTAAGGTACAGTACGGAGTCACTCTACTGTCTCCAAACGTGTTTACCTACTTTATGAAAGAAGATTGTTCATATACTGCCAAGATTGTATACTTGCAACAAAGGACAAGCTCTCCTCTAAGGGTTTGCCACGTGTTGTGTACCTTTTCAATTGCATTAAATGCAATGGGTACAAAAAGCTGAGTAATTTTCTCTTCTCAGCACACTTATGAATCTCACATCCAAATATCCTTGCCTTGAAGATCTTACCCAAGAAGATATTTCTCCTTCTATACTCTCTATCTTAGAGAAAGACAACCACTCTAACGAGTGAATAGCACATTATTTCTTAACCTATTTCTTGTAGCAAGTCTTTTCTTATTGCTATTTGTAATTTGTGTGTATCTTTGATTGTTTAGATAAGTTTTGTATCTTATCTTTTCTGCAAAGAATCTGTAAAATTATGTATTGATCTTCTTTATCAATATATAACTTTTAAAAGTGAAAGCTGATGCGTTTGTATTCACCCCCCTCTTTCTACAAATTATTATATATAAATAGAGATGGCCAAACGTAACCGGCCCGGCCCGTAACTGACGGAGGCCCGGAACCGAGACCGGCTGAAGACCATAACCGACCGGGACCGGTAGTAACCGGTTGCGGTTTTTAGGAAATTCTTGGACCGGAACCGGTTACAAAACCGGTTATGGGCCCGGCCCGGTCAACAAAAAAGTCAACAAAAGTCAAAAAGTCAAACTAGCCGTTGGAAGTCAAAAAGTCAAACTAGCCGTTAGATTTAGTCAAACTAGCCGTTGGAGCCTTCTTATGGCCGTTTTTTTCATCTTTCTAGCTACCAAAACATGTATAAATAGAGATGGGAGTTCCTTAGTTTGTTACCAACTCATCTCATCTTCAAAAACGCAAAAAACGCTATCAATTCTCGGTTTTTCGCTTCATTTTTTGAATTCGTTACGTATTAATTTCTCGTTTCCACTTCACAATTCTCGTTTATTTC